AACAGTTTATTTCTGTAGCTGTTTATGAAAATGGTGGCAGAGAAAGCTTTTATCACATGGTCCTATAAAGTCTAAAATTTAAGGGAAGCAAATATAAAGATTAGCTGTGTTTACAAAAAAGATCCAGATAAACTATAAGCAGTATTCATTTACTCAAAAAATATATGCCTAGATCAGAACTTCTGTCAAGGGTTTGTTTCATGTGCCAGCTGATTGGAACCTAGGAAATGTAAAACCAGATTAAGAACACTACTGGTAACTCCTTTTGACTTAGTGATAAACCAGCTCAAAGCAGATGAGGATTGTTTTAAGGTAACTAATTATACACCTCCTTGCTTGAAGGTTTTTAGAAAGCAGTATGAAGAGCATATGGGGACAGTTGGTTATTTCCCTAGCAGTTCAGTGTCAGAACAACATGTCTATCAAGAAACAAATAAGACTGTTCCTACAAGGGTAAAGGATTTACAAAACCCCAGCTGGCTACATAATTATACTTGGCTATGTAATGCTAATTTGCTGTGAAATTAAATCATTATTGTGGCAGTTGATTGTAGCATATCATAGATGCTTAGGAATCCAATCTTTGGGCCTTTATACAGGCAAATAACCTCGATAAAATCCCTAACATAACCTCTGATAGAGCAGACATTGTGAATGTTGCAATAAAGGCTTAATCCTTTTTATTTGAATAGTATTCCTTTAAGATCACATAAGTTTTACCCAAAGCTTTCTTTTTTAGATACTACATCCTGGGTATTGTGCTGTAAACTTTGGTAACATGAACTAGTGCACCTTCTATTAATTGTATATATAGATAGACACTGTCATACAGAACTGATGACTGTGAAACCATGCTTGCTTTTTCATTACAAAGCTTATGGTGTGTCAAAAAACTAATTTAAAAGGGTTTTGGAAACACATTAGCATTCTGTGAGTATGTATGCTGCATTTCTGAAAGAATGGTTGTCCCTGATAATGCACAATTGTGCGTTTTACTCAAAAAAAATCATATTTTTACTAAATATCTGAAACACTTCACAGAGGAGAGGAAGAGGAGGGTCTCTTCTCAGAAGCCAGCATGGTTTGGCTTACATCTAACAGTACTGGTACTTACTGGTAGCTTATTTCTGTGCTTAAAACCAAATTGAGTGTTAGGTTTAAAGTACTTGCCTTCATCCATCCTCAATATTTTTAGCTATATGCTGTTTTGCCGTGTATGGCAAAATGCAACTGGCATTTCAATCTTGAAATCATACCTAGGTCCAGATTATTAGATGGGTTTCATTAACACAGAGGAAATAAGTAAAAGGAAGAATATTGTGTCATATTAATAGTTGCAAGCATTTGCACCAGACAAGCTTTATTTGAGGAAATATGCAGCTTAGTTAAGTGATTGCTTTTCTTGACATTACATTAGGTTATTCTGAATATGGCCCAGAAGCATTGCAGCAATTAATTAGTCAAAGAGCATGAAAGAATCACTACAATCACTACAATTTTAAGCTCTTTTCTCAGTGATATGACAAGTTATCTGCTGCATGACAAGCTGAACTGGAAGTAGAGGTCGGTTAAAGCCATGTTTTAGCACAAAGGCTTACTCAGTGTCCAGAATGGGACATTGTCAGGCTGCAACACTGAGCTTTAATTGGAAAGTCAGTGACATAGACTTCCAGTGCTTTCACCCTTCCTTCACATTCTTGCTATGCAGGAACATTTCGATGAAAACAAAGGGTGATACAGAGACATCTACCGATCTCAGCTTATTTTGCAAATGTGACTTTAAGGATCAGGTTCTTTGTTCACATTTAAAATAGTCTATAGCACATCTTGACCCAATCTGTGTGCTGCCTGCTCCAGAACTATCCCTTAAAGAAGTTTTTTCAAATAGAGCTAGTGTTGCATTGCCAGCTTTCCATATGCAAATCAAAATCCAGTTTCTTGCTCACAGCTCTGTAACCTTCTCCCAAACCATTGGCAATGTTTTTGCCTTGCTTTCATGGCCTTGCACCTGGCAAAGCCCAATATTGGTGTAAGATGGGCTCTCTTTGGAATGGGTTGCCATTTAAATGAGGAGATCTGATGATGCCCAAAGTTGAACAATGAATCAGCATGGAGCACAAATGACATTGTGTGAAGGAATGTCTGTTAGGGAACTCGATGGGGCAAAGCTTTAAGGGGGACACCTGCTACATAGGAGAGAAGCCTGAAAGAGAACAATAACCTGGGGTCCTCTTTATTTCCAACCCTCCTTTTATTTCAGGTTTTTCTTTCCTCCCAAAAGCATAACTTTCACTGTTGGAATCAATGTATGCCATTAGCTACAGACTTTACTATAATAAACCTTTCTGCCTGTGGACCTCTCTCAGCATCCTTTTGAGCAGCACTTGGGCTAATCCATGTCTGTTGGTTGGTGTTTGAGCAATAAATCTCAAGAGGTTGTTTTTGTTTTTTTTTCTCAGTGCTGCTACTTCTGAACCATTGAATCAAACTGAATACAGCAGGCTGGACGCAATATGCTGTGTGTACATCAGAGTGGTGGTGTTGGATTGCCTACCTTCCCTCGGGCACTTAAAATTGGCCATTTGCTGGCTGAGTACTCTAGTTACCCAGAAGCAGGTGTTCTGCAGCAGCTCCTTGTCTCCTGCTTGCAATGGGCAGCTGTGTGGAATACCCTGGATATGCTATATACTTCTCTGATGTAAATGAAGAACACAGTGTGATAATTCCCTGCAGCAAAATCCAGATCTCTGTAGGCAGATAAGGTAAGATAATAGCAGGAAGGA